TCAACCACCCATTATTTAATTAGTTATATAACAAAGTTTTTTAAAAAGTTTTGTTGGTTGTCAAGACAGTTACTTTTACATCTTCAGTTTACCATTGTTTGCTAAGCAATCATGAAATCTTTTAACTGCAAATTACTTACTAAAATTTTGATCAGATATTTACCTACGCGTGTCACTGATAAAAAGATAAACAATTGCTAATCAATAATTAATTATTTGTATAAGTCTAAGACAAACAAAAACTGGTAAAAAATAACCTTTTTGCTGTGCATAAATGAGTATATGCTGAAAAGTTATGATTGTGGAGAGAGTATGAATATGCAAATTTGATAAAAGCATTTTTTTTTCTCACAAAGCCGCAATTACTCTTTACGTATACGTCGTATACGTACGTTTTCGTCCTTATGTTAGTACTTGCAATAAAACTTTGTTGTCATTCCTGTAAAATCATTTCGATATTTCTCGATAACATTTTATTTTGCAAAGTTTTTCAAATTGAAAGTATGCAAGAAATTATTCATAAATTTGAATACATATTTATGAGTATTAATATATGTGTAAGCCTCAATGTTTTTGGCTATATTTGTGAATGTATTTGTAATTTCCTGGTGATTATATATTTATTTATCATACAAACTTAAAAAAGATTTGAGAGTAAATTTGCTCATATGAAGAAATGCAAATAAAAAATTTGTATGAATTTTAAATGTAAAAATAAATATTAATTAAGACAAATCAATAATATAAATAGAATGATCTTAGACTAGAATAGATTAAGTTATTCAAATCTAATTTGGTTTGAAAATATAACATGTAAGTTAGAAGCAGTCTTTTTTCATAATAAAAATATTACGAAAATTGGTGCAAATTTTTTCAATTTCATGCAAAGTTTTTCAATTAGTATAGTTAGTAATTATTCGAGAGAAATTTATAAGTTGTGTTTTCAGTTGTGATGAAAAAATGGAAAATTATTATTTTTATTTCAATAATAATTTTAAATGCATATTGTATAAAATTTACTTACTTCAGTGTATTCTAAAAGAATGGCATAGTAAAGTAGTCATTCTAAATTTTTCTCTGCTTGCCTTTCACGAATTTTATGCAAATATATACTGTAATAATTAAAAGAACTTTATGAGGTTTGCATTAATACAGAAAAACTGATATCTCTTTAATATCAAGCATGTCAAGCATTCTAAGACCTCTTAATATGATGAGCAACTGCTCTGTTAATTATTTATTATATTGCATAGTCAAGCTTGATCTCAGATTATTTTAACTCTACTCTTACTTTATATTCAGATTACACTTTACGACTTGTCAATTTTTTTCTTGTTTTTACACTATTTTTTAATACTGCTTGTTATGTTAGCTTAACTAACTATCTTAATTAAAATCTATTCCTTTTATGGTTTACTTAAATATGGCAATTATATATTCTTAATAGTTTCAAGAGTTACTTTCACGCAAATATATGATTGTTTTGAAATAAAATCAATTTAAATTACTTAAATAAGTTAAAATTCAGTACATAATTTATTCCATTTTATAAATCTTGATTGATCATTATAAAAGTATTGATTTATTAGATAATGAGATGAGATCAAAAATTAGCCAAAAGTTATGAGATATTTTGTCAAGTTAATTAAATTAAAGCAACATTAATAGCATTCAAAAATTAGTTAATAAAGATATTGCACACAACTGCTAATAGAAATAAAGTAGAAATATAAAATGAAAAAGAAATAGAACAGACTATGATTGAAAAAAAAGATAATAAAAAATTATTTTCAGTAAAATTCATGATTACTGATGTTGGTTTAGCTAAGGCTATACCTTCGTTAGTGAGAAAAAGCTGTCTTGAAATCTTTCAGATCTACCCTTCCAATTTATTATCGTCTATATTTTTTGTTTCATCGGTAGCTTGTAAAGATGAATATTTAATTTAGGTTTTACACATACGTGTATATATCTAATATATAAGGCTATGTATGGACATACATTTTGATATGCGAGTGATTTATTTCAAAAATATAAGTATTGGCATTTTTTTTAACAATGCTAATTAAAATTGTTTAGTGCTGAATATAAAATTGAGGTGTATATGACATTATGCAAAAATAAAACTAATTTGATATTTTTTAAAAATGTTAAAAAAAGACATTACAATTTTTTATGATAAGAACAAAAAATAAAGTGAAGTAGTGAAAAAGTATTTTATTTTTAAAAATGTTCGAAATTTAATAACGGATAAATATTTAACTTCAAATTATGATACACTTTACTTTAATCTCAGATTTGAAGATTTATGTTTTAAATTGCTATCATTTAACAATTGAACATTAAATGAAATTTGATGCTACCTCATGGTTTTGATAAATGTTTTGTCATTAATAATAATAATAATAACAATAATAATAATAATAACAATAATAATAATAATAATAATAATAATAATAATCAATAATAATAGTAACAATGATAATGATAATAATAATAAGTAAGATAATAATAATGACAGTAATAATAATAATTATTATTATTAAACTGCAAAAAATTGGAAAATAAGAAGACTAGTTAGAAATAGCCCATTATTAGTACCATGAAACTATTTAATCATTTTATTAGCCAAATAGACTTTTTTAATATTATTAAATATGATAAATAGAATTAACAATACTTGCGAGCCATGAGAGGGATATTTATCTGCTGCAATTTTTGAATTAATTTGCAGTAAAATAATACTAAAGATATTTTAAAAAATTGTTTTGATATTCAAAAATATTTGGAGTTATGAGGTGGATTGAAAAATACTACTAATAATCAAAAATTGTGCAACACAGTATAAATAGGAAAGCATTCGCATTAAATGCTTAAATTTATGCGTAAGTTTTATCAACGTTTTAATGCATATCTGATTGAAAATATGCTTTAATGCAAGTATAAGTCATTTAAGACATTACTCCATTAAAATGTTTAAATTGAAGCAGAAAATAAAATTCTGATGATGAGTTTATAAAAGCTTGAAACCTCAAATATTTTAATTCCAAATTACTTACTTGTTGTAAAAGGTTCGATGCAAATGGCTTCTACTTTTTATATTTTGAAAAAAGCAAGTATCGAAAATTGCTAAAATTAAGGTAATATATTATTGCTACTACAATATTCTAAATAATAATTAACAGTTTAGTGTCATTAAAACTGATAAATAGAAAATTCAATGTCCATTATTGTATTTATTAATAATTTTTGCAAAAAAAGCAAATATTTACTAATTTGTCAGGTTTGCTCGCCTTTATCACATTTCAATATGTAAATAATAAAATGCTGCAATAGAATTTACATTGAGTAAAACAGATTAATAAGAATACAAGGATACTGTGCTACAAAGAAGATGTAAAATTAAAATTGCTAATAACTTAGTTTTCTTGTTGGCTTCAACAAATTTAACACACATACTAGCCTATTTAAAATATTTTTAAAGTTTTGTGTACCAAGTTTAAAAAAAAATAAGATTCTATCAAAAGCAAATAGGAAGAAGAACAATTTTTGACTAACTTTGTTAGAAATCTTAATATTTTTAATCTGTGAAAATCTATGCATTTCGTTTCTAAAAACACTTTGAATATTGCTACTTATAGGCAATAATTTTTAGACAAAAGTTTAGAATAACTGTATTTTTTTTAAATTCAATATTTATTTAACAAATAAAATTTACTTTTATCTAAATTATAAATTCAAATTTGACTTTATTACATTAATTATAAATTATTGATTTTGAATTTACGAACTAATAATCACTGAAAAAAAATTATATGATATCTGTTAATGTATGTGTTTTTTGCACTGAAATTTTTAATGCAGTTATTCTTAGCTGCATGAACTCATTTGCATTCCTATTTAATATTAATCATTTAATTAATTTTGGATTGATTTTATCATTTTTTTCAAATTCAGAACTAAACTTAAGGTTAATAATAAGATTTAAAGTATAAAATTACTACCAATGTATTATTATTTTTCATCAGCAATTAATCATAACATACAATTATTTCTGTTTTGATTAATAAATCAGAAAACAAATCTTATAATCAAAAACTATCTTTTACGTTGTTTAAATTGCTTGCAACGATACACTAATTGACTGATAACCTATTTCATGTTATAATTATTGAAACTTATGATAAATAACGCACATATGGTGTGATATATTTTAATGATTTGATAATGAAATTAAATAATCCTAACAGCAGTATTTTTCTTTTACTTAATATCGAATCAAGTACTTCATTATTTAAATGTTAATTCCAGTATATGTTTCTGAATTCAAATATACTTCAGTTTAAATTCACTAAGATAAGATAATAAAGTATGATAAGAAGCTAACTTAGTGCAAGACAAACTAGCAAGTTCATTTTTTTTTAACCTAAAACTTTTTAACGCTACAATAAACTTTTCACAAAATAAACTAAACTTTATTTAAGATATAAAACTTAGAGCAAAAAATACTAAAAGTACTCAAAATGATATCTTACAAAGCATAAAATAATAATATGCAAAACTGAACACTTTGTAAACTTTCATTCAAATTTCCTAAAAATATAACCAATGACCATTGACCAATGACGCTACCTGATTATTTATGCATATTTTTAAGTGATAAGTTTAATTATGCCACGATTTTTCAAAACCCTCACATTTTACTGCAGACATGTTTTACTTTTTTTTTGAACAGAAAAACTAAAGAGTATTTGTGCAATTTCAAGTGATGTGATTCTGCGTGAAGCTTGATGTTATGCTACGTGATGGAGTTCTTGTGACTCAAATTTGTAGTACTTCAAATGGACAGATCAGTTCATTAGTCAGTGATTCATTTGACACTAATAACATTTAAGATTTCAGCAAATTGTTGCAATTCAACTATTATTGACAATTGACTTCTGAAAGCATCAGATTCGTGCATTAATACGTAGTAGAAAAACGAAATATCATAAGATATGACATGGTGTATTACTGTAGATTTCTAAATATACCATCATTGCAAAATTTTAATACAATGCGTATTGATTGCATACGTGAGAAAATCTAATCTGAGGATTTTGAATTGAAAACTTTCATAAATTCGTTTTAAGATTTCAATTGGCTGAATGCCAGAATTTAAATTTCATTGACTATTTGAGTGTAATTTGCAACTGTTGACACTTAATGAAGTGTGGTTGTCTTTGTATGGTTGGTCATAAATATCTGTCATGAACTGACATGATGATGGATGGTAGTGTGAGCATACAAATGATGTTCTAATTGTTTTGCAATCAGAACACTGGTGTGAATGTTACTAAAAATCCATGCATTCCTCACCGTTCAAGAACATATAATATGCAGTTTGTGCTGAGAAGGACAAATGTATATTATTTCAGTTCGATTTAATTGCAATCTACAACTTGACTTGGCAATTTATTGCATTCCGTTCAAATAGATAGTCGAGATGAGTGATAATTCGGATTCAGATTCCGCGGTATGCGCAGTTTTTCTAATGCAATTAATGAGTAACTAGTACAATTTCTCGTCTTTTTTAGTTTGTTAAGAAGAATTACTTTTATTATTAAAAATTTAAGTACTAAGTCTTTAAAAACTGTTTGTGGAGATATTAATTTCTATTCATATCAGTTACAAGGAAAGATTTGTTGGTATAAAATAAGTCTTATATGCACTGAAGGATCAGTAATTATATGTTTTTAGGAATATTTTAAAAATATTAATTGCAGTTTGCTTTGCATCCTCAGCAAAACAGTACATACGAGAAAAAACCATCTGAAACAGCAAGCAAACCTAAAACAAAACGAAAACAATCACCAGGCAAGACTGATTTAACTTTTTGCTAAGATTTTTTGATATTTTCTTGTGTCATAGACTTACTTGATTGGTCTTTCAGATAAGTAACGCTTTTTTTTAAATAGATGAGTTGGTAGACTTTTTACTTTATTAATATGTTGATTATCCACTTATTTGTATGTATTGTATGTTTCAGTGAAGAACAGTGCTCAAAATGGTAATGAAGAAGATCCTTTAGAAATTTTCACTAATATTGACCATCAACCAAAACGTTTAGATATTGAAAAAATTTACCAAAAAAAAAGTCAACTAGAACACATATTACTTCGTCCAGATACATATGTTGGCTCTGTGGAACGCACTGATAAAACGGTACGTTCTTAAAACTATGAACAAAAATATTAATAGTTCATACGATAGTGCTGATTAACTTTTTTTTAGATTTATATTTAAAATTTCTTTTTCTTCTTCATAAAACATTCTGCACTTCATGACAATTCATTTAATAGGTAGTCCTTTTCAGACTTCTGCTTTTTACTGTTTCTACTTATTAATGATATGCCCATCGTGATGTTTCATTTTTTCTGAATTTTAGCCTATGTGGGTATATGATCAAGAAAGCGATCGGATCACTCAGCGGGAAATTTCATATGTTCCTGGTCTCTATAAAATATTTGATGAGATTTTAGTAAATGCTGCAGACAACAAACAGCGTGATCCAAAGATGAATGTCATAAAAATACAAATAAAAAGGTTTTCATTTGGCTCACTGAATTTGACCTAAAACATATGATAATTTTTTAGCATATGAAGCAATACTTTACGCGGATCAAAGCATAAGTCTAGTTAGCAAAGTCCGAACACTGAATGATTTAGCTAGAACGAAAATCTTGATTTTTTGTCTTTATTTTTACATTACCGAAAAGCATTATGAAAAACAAATAATATATTTCAGGAATATGAATGAAATTAGTGTATTTAACAACGGTAGAGGTATTCCTGTAGTACTGCACAAGGTAGAAAAACTTTATGTTCCTGAACTGATATTTGGTACTCTACTTACGTCTTCTAATTATGACGATAGTGAACGGAAAGTGACGGGTATATAAAATGTTCATTGCAGTTATTTTATCATTTAAATTTTGTGCTTATTGTAAGCAGTCATTTGGTTTTTTGTATCTCCATAACAGAGTTGAATAATGTTAATGTTTATTATATCTAGAAGATTGGATTCTGTGTTTCAAATTTTTGCTCATTCACTGTATTCTTTAAAGTTTTTATTGCATCCATTTATTTTGCATGTTATACAACAAAAATATTTCAAGGTGGTCGTAATGGATATGGAGCAAAGCTGTGCAATATTTTCAGCACTGAATTCACAGTTCAGACATCTTCTAAAGAATACGGGAAAGCCTTCAAACAAGTGAGCCATTTTTTTGCCTTTGATTTTGATCATATTGTCTTTCCTTCATTGGTTTTCATTTCATGTTAATTTTACGATTAATTTAAGACTTGGGTAAACAATATGACTAAAGATAAAGATCCAGTTGTTACTAAGTCGGCTGGGGAAGATTTTACTCGGATAACGTTTAAACCGGATCTTCAAAAATTTAAAATGACTGAAATGGATGACGATATTATTGGTTTGATATCCCGCCGAGCTTACGATATTGCTGGTTCAACAAAAGGCGTCAAAGTGTACTTGAACGACAAACTGTTACCGGTAAGATATCCCTCAAGTTGATTTGCGTATTTTCTTATGAGCACCAAACTCTGTAGAAATTTCTGAATATTGTAAAGTACATTTTATTATAGGTACAAGGCTTTAAACAGTATGTGGAACAGTATACAAAGTATAATTTGGATAGTGAAGGTGAACCATATAAGGTGGCGTATGAACAGCCAAATGAAAGATGGGAAGTAGCTTTGACAGTGTCAGAAAAGGGTTTCCAGCAAGTTTCCTTTGTGAACTCTATTGCTACTACGAAAGTTAGTCATGTTTTCGAAGTAGTCCTTAACGTGTTCAGTTTTTCAAAACAGTTTTTTTAAAATTTACCACTTGTGAAAGCTATTGTTTTAGTTTTGGAAAGTAACATTATGAAAAGTAGGTGGTAAAAAGTGCCAACCTAAATACAGATTTACAGGTTTATATTTATGTCACTGTTATTTAATAAATGACTTAATTGTTTTTCAATTCAGGGTGGCCGTCATGTCGATTATATTGCAGATCAGATAACTGCTAAATTAATAGATACAATCAAAAAGAAAATTGGAAAAAGTGGTATAAATGTGAAACCGTTTCAAGTAATGACCTTTTTGTTTTTGTATTTCCAATTATACTTTTCTCATAGTATTCAAAGGTATAAAGTAGTTATCGAAAAAGTAATTTAGCACTAAACTGTCAAGGTTTGAATTTTAAGCTTTTTAGATTCGATTGTTAAAAATCTAGTAGTGGATTCACTTGTGTAAAAAGCTATCATCTGTGGTTTTAAAATCTCACATTACTTTGTTTTTTTTAGATCAAAAATCATATGTGGATTTTCGTTAATGCTCTAATTGAAAATCCAACTTTTGACTCACAAACAAAGGAAACAATGACGTTGCAAGCAAAAAGTTTTGGAAGTAAGTGTGAACTCTCTGAAAAATTCGTCAGTGTCGTAATGAAATGTGGCATAGTTGAAGCTGTTATGGCATGGGTTCGTTTTAAGCAACAGGAAACACTGGACAAAAAATGTTCTAGTAAAAGAGCAAGTAAATTAAAGGTATGTATTGCTTGTTTTTGGGAATGAATTCAAGGAAAATTTCTTAAATAAGTATTTATATTTTTTTATTGCTTTAATTGGGATATATTCTCACGATTGAATTTTATAAAGTAATATAGTATGTTTAGGGTATACCAAAACTAGAAGATGCCAATGATGCAGGAACTAAAAATTCTTCCATGTGCACGCTGATACTCACTGAAGGAGATTCGGCCAAGTCTCTGGCCGTTTCTGGCTTAGGTGTAGTTGGTCGTGATCGTTATGGTGTTTTTCCTTTGCGTGGTAAAATGCTGAATGTTCGCGAAGGCAGTCATAAACAAGTATTGTTTTCGAGAAATTTTCTATATTAGTTTAAAAGTGATCAAGATTTAGAAAAATTGAGAGTAGTAGATTTACATTCGATAATTTTTCGACGACATTTGAATTTATTTTAGTTTATCTATAGATACAAAGTTTTTTTTTCAGTTTATTTTTGAATTTGGAATTCATAATACTCTGTTTCTTTCACTTTTCAAACACTTCATTCAATTCTTGAAAAAATATTTGATTTTAGATCATGGAGAACGCCGAGATAAATGCTCTAATAAAAATTATTGGTTTGCAGTATCGTTTAAAATATGATAAAGATGAAGACTTGAAAACTCTTCGTTATGGAAAAGTGATGGTTATGGCTGATCAGGTGTCTTTCTCAGTTTTAACTGACTGTATTTCATTTACACGGTACCCATTTTTTTTTCCATGAAAAATATTTGTTTCATCTAGTCTTTAATAATCATTAATTAAAGGATCAAGATGGTTCTCACATCAAAGGACTTGTAATAAACTTTATTCATTATAACTGGCCAGTATTGATTCGCCGTAATTTTGTTGAAGAATTCATTACACCTATTGTAAAAGTAACTTTTCTACGCTTCTATATTGGAAATTGAGACTTTTTTTTTCTGGTGACGAAAACAGGACAACGCATTTTTCATCATATATTATATCTGTTATCATATGATTTTTTACTTCTTTAGGTCACAAAAGGAAAGGAAACATTGTCCTTTTTTTCACTACCTGAGTATTCTGAATGGAGAATGAATACAGAAAATTGGAAATCATATCGCGTTAAATACTACAAAGGTATCATTCTGTCAGAAATTTAAAAGTTTTTCAGTGTGGTCTACATAATCAGCCTTTAATTTCGAATATTAATTCAGGTTTGGGTACTTCAACATCAAAGGAAGCCAAAGAATATTTCACTGACATGATTCGTCATCGCATTAAATTCTGTTATTCCGGTGAAGAAGATGATAATTCTTTGGATATGGCATTTAGTAAGAAGAAGATTGAAGATCGAAAAATGTGGTTAACAAATTGGATGGCGGTAAGCTAATGCAGAGTTTTCGCATAATATTAATTAATCGTAAGAATTGTTAAATTCATTTCACCGATTGCATTCATTTGCTACTTTTTAAACATTCCATCAGTACTTTAGTGCTTTTATAAATTGATTTTACAATCCCTAAAATCAGTTCTCATTTATAGGAAAAAAAATCAAGACGTGAGCAAGGTTTGACAGAAGAATATTTGTACGACAAAAACACTCGTTCTGTTTCGTTCAAGGATTTTGTGAATAAAGAATTGGTGTTATTTTCAAATGCAGATAATGAAAGATCCATACCAAGTTTGGTTGATGGACTTAAACCTGGGCAACGCAAAGTTAGTTTCGAAATATTCTGTTTATGTTTATGCTGTAATGCAAAAAAGTAAAGATGCTTCATTTTATTTCTAGTTTCTAGTGTACGTTAACAATTTTGTCATTTGTTTACATGATTATTTTAGGTATTGTTTACCTGTTTCAAACGAGCTGATAAAAAAGAAGTTAAAGTAGCTCAGCTTGCCGGTGCAGTTGGGGAAATGTCTGCTTATCATCATGGAGAAGTATCAAATTTTTCTGAATCTTTATATATATAATGAGACATGTATATGCAAAGTTATTGTTCATGATTTCAGGCCTCACTAATGTCAACAATAGTAAATTTAGCTCAAGATTATGTTGGTTCAAATAACATAAATTTACTGCTACCTATTGGCCAGTTTGGTACACGCTTACAAGGTGGAAAAGATAGTGCTAGTCCTCGTTATATTTTCACACAGCTCAAGTGCGATTGTTTTTATATACTGAACAGTTTTAAACATTTTGCTTGTGGAAATATTTGTTTCTATAATGGTTAAAGTTATTGTTTTCCTTCTCAGTGTTTGTTATAAAGTATTTTCTTAAGAAGGTTGTTTAGATTATTGCTATTTTCAGTCCTGTCACTCGAGCATTGTTTCCAGCTGTTGATGAAAATGTTTTGCGTTTTTTATTTGAAGAAAATCAACGAATTGAGCCTGAGTGGTGAGTTTCGACATGTATCAGAAACTGGAGCATTTTTCGGTCCCAAACACTGATTTTTATTTGCTTGTGATTAACTTCTAGGTATTGCCCAATCATACCCACAGTTTTGGTTAATGGAGCTGAAGGTATTGGTACTGCATGGTCAACGAAAATTCCGAACTACGATCCGCGCAAAATTACTGATAACATACGACGTTTAATACGTGGTGAACCATTGCATGCTTTGGTAAGTTTTTAAAGGTGTTTTTTTTGCACTGAATTCAATTCAAATTTATTGAACTTTCAGCAATATATTATTATTTTAATGGCCTACTTTTTCCAGCTCATATTAGCTGTGAAGTATGTGACTAATTTTGAATATTCAATATTGTGCACTTATTCTTTGTTATAAGCTATGCATTTGCTCTCTTTTATGATTAATATCGGTTATAAATTCATACAACAATAGTTTTTAATGCTTTTATCAGAGCCCATGGTTTAAAAACTTCCGTGGAACCATTGAAAAATTGGACGAGTCACGATATGTTTGTAGTGGTGAAATAGCTATTTTAAATGAAAGCACTATCGAAATCACTGAGCTACCAATTCGAGTATGGACACAAAACTACAAGGAAAATGTTTTAGAACCGATGTTGGAAGGTTCTGATAAGCAACCTCCTCTGATATTGTACGTTCCTTAGACTTAACTGTATGATTGGCTCTTTTTTCACTTTTCATATAACATTTTCATTGACTTGCTAATTTCATAACTCATTCTTCATATTATTTTCAGAGACTTCAAAGAATATCATACAGATGCAACAGTTAAATTTGTTATAAAAATGAATGTGGCTAAACTAAAGGAAGCTTCCATGGAAGGATTACACAAGACCTTTAAATTGCAAACAGTTATAAACACAAGTTCTATGGTAATAAAGTTTCATTTCGATTTTTTGAGTAATTCAGTTAAATATTCACTTGTAAACTGACTGCCCATTTCTGATATTTCATCTCTCTGTTGATATATACTTAAAAAATGTTCATTTAATTACAGGTATTGTTTGATGCTCTAGGGTGCTTGCGAAAATTTTCAACTGTGGAGGAAATTTGTAAAGAATTTTTTGAAACAAGAAAAAAAAAATACATTGAGCGAAAGGCATTCCAAGAAGGTATGCTCCGTGCGCAGAGCCAACGACTCAGCAATCAGGTATTATTTTGTAACTGGAAATGATAAGTGATTCTGACTTCAGATGCAGTCTCAAGTTTTGAGATTGCATTCATTTGGCTGAAATTCATCAGATTTTTGTTTTACATGTTTATTTATATCAGGCTCGATTTATCTTGGAAAAGATCAAAGGCGAAATACTAATTGAGAACAAGCGTAAGGCAGTGATTGTGGAGCAATTAGTGAAGAAAGGTTTTGATCCAGATCCAGTAAAACAATGGAAAGAATCTCAGAAGAAGCGTGAATTGGAAATGACTGGCGAAGTTCAGATGGAAGATGAAGAGACCGACAATGAAGAAGAAGTTTTTTGTTTTGCCATGAATTATATTATTCAAGAAATATGCAGTAGTTCATAAATATTCAGCTTTTGTCAGATATTACATTTCGAAAATGTTTCTGGTATTAAAGTGCTGTAATTCAAGTGACCGCCCAGACACTTCATTTAGAGTGATTCATCCAGCCCGTCTACAAAGAATGACTGGGAAAAGAAACTGAGTGATTATGATTATTTGGTAGGCATGGCAATCCTAAAATTATCAGAAGAAGAGAAGGATAAATTATTACGTGAAAGTGAAGCAAAATTAGCAGAATTAAAGGTAGTTTTTTAAGGTTTTTTATTTCAATTTGAGTTTAAGATATGCTTTTTTGCTCAAAATACCCATATAAATAGTTTATTTCAAGTCTGCTATTTGATTTGACAATTCAGGTTTTGGAAGCGAAGAGTTGGGCAGATTTATGGGAAGAAGATTTGAGTAACTTCTTGTCTGAATTGGAGAAGCAGGTAAATTGTTTGTTTATTATTTCATCCTATGTGATTTACTTCTATTGCATCTTTTTATTCCTTTATCAATTTTTGCATTATTATAATTAATAATAAGAGGTTTAAATTAGTTTTTATTTTAGGAGGCAAAGGAAAAAGAAGATTTGGAAATGCAAGTTAAGGATGCTACGAAAAGAGTTGGTAGCGGGACTTCAAAGGGAGGAAAAAGAAAAGCAGGCACCCTCGTGAAAGTATTTTTTACGTTGAAAGATATAAGCAGTAATTATTATGGTCATGAAGAATTTTTGGATTATACTATAGTTTTGTTGAATGGGAAATCTTTTGAACTTGTATCTTTATTTTCAACAGTATCTCTTGGATTATAGTTTTCATTGCTCAAGACCTTCGAATTTTCGGAACTAAATTTTGAATTATTCAGGAGGTTCTTCCCGATCCACAAGGTATTCGAGTTGTGCCCCATTTCGATGCTATCAAAGAAAAATATGACGCACGAAGAAATGATGGTGAACCCAAAGTTAAAAAACCTAGAATACCGAAAGAGCTGAAAAAAGTAAAGGAAAATGTTGAGGTAAGTGTCTCAGAATTCACCACTTATCTAGCAAATTCAGTAAATAGTTTATTTATTGGATTTTCAATCTTGATTTGTACTTCAATCTTTAATATTGTTTAGGATAATGAAAAATTGAATATCCAGCAGCAGCAGAAAAAAACTGGTAAAATTTACTTGTTCTGTTTATTTCATGTTTCATAAGATTTAATTCATTTTTTTCTTTCATTTTTAATTTGATATGAATTGTGATTTTACTGACTACATCAGTCTGTTTCGATGAAGTGAAAATTCTTTGATCTGGAAATTATCATACCCAATTTGAATTTGTAATCATGAACCTCATACTTCAGCAAAAGATGGCTTTTCACGAAGCAAAAAATCAAAGAAAAAACAAGATGAGTGGAAGTCAGGTGACAGCGAGGACGATTTCGATGAATCTAAATTTGTTGTTAGTGATGAGGACAATAGTGATGATGGGGTTGAAATTAAAAAAACTACTGCTAAAGATCGAAAAAAACGAGTTAGTTGTCATGCTATGAAGGCAAAAAATTTTTGAGCTGTCAGTCTCTCTAGCATTAAGATTTAGGCAAACCAATTAATGAGCGGTCCGGATCAAAATGATAGTTCAGCTGCTGATGAAAGTTCACTGATACCAGATGACGATAAAACAAAGAAATTCTGTGAAAAAATCGGAAATCTGTTCGTTGATGAGGTTAATTTTAATTTTTGTCTTTTAAAGTATTTGTGGGAATTTATAAAAGTCATATGATATGTATTTTCATTTAAATGTTGTAGGAAATAGAAACAGGTGTTCCTGTGTCTAATAGTGCTAATGCAGAAAGGAAAAAACGATGTATTACTAAAGAAGCAAAAGCAATGGACAAAGGTAAAAAGGTAAGGAAAAAATTTTTTAGATGATATTAGTGTGATGAAGAAAAGAAAAACATGTATTATAATTTAACATTTAATGAAATTTCTTTCTTGATTCTCTCATTTACATAGTATATTAAGGCCATTTATTTTTAGAACCATTTGAGTGGGAGCTAGTAATAATATTGTTTCCTTTTTCTTTTGTCAGTCTCAAGAAATTCGAATATTTGAAGTTAGCAAAACCCTGTAGTTATTTACTGCATCGATTTAAAAAATTTATGTTTTTGGATCATGTATTAGATTTGAAAAATACATAATAACAGATGTTTGTCACGTTTGTTGCAGAAATAGAAATTTTTTCTCGCTTACAGGTCAAAGATAAGGATAACAAAAAGGAGACGAAAGCTATGGATGGTGAAAAGGATAATGATACGCCACCGGCATCAAGTTTGGAACCAGCAACTTCACGTCGTGTTGGAGGTCGACAGCGCAAGGTAATTAAGTATACGTTTGATGATGACGTTTCTGATTCGGATGATGATTTTCCACTTCCACAGACGAGAAAAAGACGAAAGAAATATGAGAGTGACGACGAATTTCAGTTAAGTGGTTAAGAGTTTAAAAGCATGAATTTTGGTAGTTACTGTAGTTTCAGTAGCAAACAAAAATTATGCTTTTTTTCTCAATTTCTATGACAACTTATTTTCTTCATCTTTATGCAATTATCTACTTCATTATGTACTGATTTGGAATGTGGCTGGTTATTTATGACAAATAATATTCCTCCTTGTTGATACTCTAGTAGCCTTCTAACTTGTTGATTTTTTTGATTTCGTATTACATTTATATGCAATGATTGTTTGTATGTTTCAGTCTTATTTTGAATCGGATATAAGTTTCGTTTGTTTGTATTGTCTGACTTGATTACACCATAACAGCATTTTGACTCCGGATATTTTTGAATGATCAGCTTTCAAACACCATTTAACATTTTAATATTATTTCAAAAGTCTGGTATCCAATTTTAATATCTTTTTAGATTGTTTGCTTGTTGTTTTCTGTTGTATGTGTGCATTCATTGTCAGCCACTTTCTTTACCAGTTATAACGAATTATTTATGCCTCATTTCAATTCTGATTTCATCTAGGAGCTTTGTCCTTCTTTCTTGCAGCTTAAATGCTGATTTTACTTTCATTTTGTGGTGACTTTTTTTTTTTAGATTATTTAATCTGATTAAAACCTTTTATTGAGCACTGTCTTAGAAAGAAACAAAAATTTTGATCAGTACTGGGGATTACTTTAATTTGAATATGATCTCATGATAATTATGTAGTTCATCGCTGAAATCAAAATACGTATTTGTGGATTATAGTATGGAGTTGAAAGAGTAGTGCTTTCCTTCTCGTATCTCTTTTGGGCATTAACTGAATTTAGTTTAATTATTTATTAATTGGAATAATTTAATCCGTAAAATATTATGAACTTGAAAGAAAACTGCTTTAGACAGTGACAAATCAATTCATTATATAGTCTGCTATGAAGTTATTTAACATTGTAGAGCAAATACCTAATATGCTGTTAATCAGTTTACATAAGGAAGAAGTTATTATTATTATCCTATCGGCACACCTCATAAAGGCGTCTGTACCTTAATTTTTGGTATTCTGCTCTAAAATAACGATGATTTTTTAGGAGTTCAATGTTCGATCAAACGATTAAGCAAGTCACATTGTAATAAACTTCAGGGTACTTGATTTACGTTCCATTTAACTTGTCATTAAGTGTGATGTGACTTATGAATTGTGAAAATCGACATCTTATTTTGTGTTATATTTTCAAAGAATAATATGCGAAATAAGCTGTCTTTCTTGTAAAGTAGTGGGAAAGGGATTTTTGGTAAAGCTACTAATTATATGATTACCACGCAAGATATGCTGAGTTAATATAGGATGCGATCTACTGAGATCAGTAGAATCTGCCAAGGATAGCTATGATAATGCGAAAAACTATGCTACTTTTTTATTGTATTGGGATTTTTGCTAATATGGAATGATGAATGGTTTCAGAAAGCGTTTGAAGTGATTTTGAGTTAGTTACTACTAGAACATTAAAAAACAGAAGTAATGTAGAATAATTTGTAGAATAGTAGATGTGCTCAGCTCATACGTTATTAGTATCTTTTTAATCGTGTTGAAAGTATATTGATGGTTCTGAGTCATTAAGTGTACGAAAAAATATACAAGCAGTGCGAACATATTTGAAACAAGCATAAGTAATTTGAAGTTTAGAGGTGTTCATTATAGTCGTTCTAGGCTTGTGAAATCTTATCTTTCATTCTAGACATGATAGCAATTTCATCAAAAATCATAGATGAAAAAATCAGTCTATTTTGTCGCACCAATATTGAACTAATTTATTTTCGATTATTGGGTATTTGCTCGTTTTATGCATTTTTGTTGTTGTTGTTTTCTTACCATTTTAGCATATCTAAGCAGGAAATTAGTTTCAGAATGAATTTGTTGTTCAAGGACACATTTTATTATGGACTAAAATAAAAATTTAAGGCATGTGTTAATGATAAAATTGGGAGTTGCATTTTCATTTATTTTTTTGCGCGGTTTCCATTTTAGATTTAAAAAGTATAATAAAGCTATGCTTAATAAAGAAGACTTTAGTTTACTTTATTTTCGTCATCCATAAAATACTTTGTGTTAGCTTCATTTGAAGCATTGAATAAACAGCTAGTTTAATTGGCTGAATTTTTGGTTGTACTAATACTAGTACTATTATTGTAGCAATTAAAGTTATTTGTACTTTTTTATGTTAAATAATAAAATGAAGAAAATTTAATGTAGTAACTGTACGAACAAATTTTTAAGACTAAAAGTGCTGTGAATTTTAAATGTTTTTATTTCAAAACTACTGTAAGTTTTTTTTTTTTTGAAGAATGTGAAAAGTTTATTGTAATCGTTAAGTGGTGAAATTTTATCAAATCTTATTTGATACTCAAATAGAGAAACATAAGATTTTCATATTCAAGAGAATCAACTTGAAATCATTCATCATGTACAATAATACTTTTTGTGAATAAATCAGGCAAAAATCTTGATTAAAGACTTGACTTTGTTAAATGTCAACAACTTCACTTCTCACAATGTAATGAAAAGTTTTTCTGCAATTTACTTTTAAAGATTGCTAATAATCTGTGCATTCATGCAGGATTTATCAGACTTTATGTTTGCTTCGTTGCATCACTTGTATGATAGTTATTTGCTATTTGTGACTTAAGAATTATCATTCTCACAATATAATTTTTATGAAATATAATACAATAGTAGTATTGTGAATTAATACAACTGTAAACGTCTTGTGTATTGCAAGCAAGACTCAAAGTTTTAAAATTATTGCATTCAAATACTCTATGTGATTATTTTGGAAATTCAAATATCATCTGTCATCATCTTTTTAATTTTCAATATAGTGAGAGATATGACTTTTTTTTCAATATATTTAATGCTAGTCTGAAATATATGAATATCAAAACAACATTTCGCATTAAGAAAAGCTAAATATTAATGACAAAGCATGATATTGAATTAAAATTTTTTCTCCACTTCATAAGTATTGAGAATTTTCTCCTGAATCGGAGTGAAGATAGCATCAAGTCAGGATTAACACATTTTTCAAATGATGATGGTTCATGAAAAAGTGTGGTCAGCATCTGGCCATCGGTGCCATGGTCTATGAAGTTATATGCTTGCTGATTTCGAATATTTCATTTTAAAAAAATAACTAAAGTTAAGGAAGCAAAGATTGTAAGTCATACATATCTTTGTAAGAGTTAAAATTTCAGTAAGTTCATATTTTTTATTTATTTTTCAGTAAGTTCATATTTTATGCAGAGTAATTATTCTGTTATGATTTATATTTTTTAACAACTGAAACAATTACAATTAGATCGTTAAATTGTGAGATTAGAAAGTGTTGCAGAATTATTAATACCCTTTATAAAATTCATTAGACAGTATCTGTTTTTAACTGCATTGATATTGGATAAATAATACCAAATCATACCACTTAGATACAAATATGATTTGGTATTATCAATTAATTGCACAGAGAAATGCATTTGTTATTAAATAATATGCTATGTATATACTTTTAAACAAAAAATTTTATACTTTGTCAAAATTTATATTGATAATATCTTTGATAGCCTGTAGTATTCACATTTTAGTAGACAAACAAGCAGTTTTATCTACTAAATTGTATACATATTTCACTTCCTTTATGCAGATTCATACATAATTAAAGAACTAGCGGTGGTAGCGAATAGAAAGATAGTATTGTCCTTGTTATAAGTGGAAATGTGAAAAGAATTATTATATTCATGAAAGTGTGACCTCTCTGTAACCTTTTCAATAAAACCTCTCTAGTGAATTGCAGAGAGTAGATCAGAAAATGCATATGCCCATAAAAGATTGCACCTCTATTAATATCTTTGTTATTTGTCACCAAAATTAATTCAGAATTGCCGCAAAAAAGTCAGCTATTTATTATAAATATTTTATTTTCTTTTGTAAAATTTTTATTATTGGCTGGAAATAATGGTCTATCCATCAACGCTAATAATTTGTCTTTTACTCATTAAAGTAAGTCATTTTTTAAATTATCATTTGCATTTATTGCAAATTTCATATAATAATACAGTACCAGACATATTAAATCATACTATTATTTTATAATTTTGAAAAAAATCGTTCTATTCACATTTATTCCCTAAGATATTAAAAAATGTAGCCTAATGATAATGTTCTGTATAACTTTTACTCTTTTCATATAATTAAAATAAATAATAGTAAATAATAGGCTTATTTGTTACCAGCAAATATTAGACATTAATTTGTTATACAATTTTATTCTGCTCAATTATAAGAATCTTTCTGAGCAGTTTTGAATTAGTATAAAAGGTAGTTTTGATTGTAAACTTTTTTAATTTAATAGCTGTAAAACAATCATAAATTGTATTGAGTAGAGCTGAACTTCTAAAGAATCCATTAAATATTTCTATTTCTCCCAATTTTGTAGTTAATACAAAAATGAATTTAGACAGTTTGACTTTAAGTTCATGGCAAAAAAGAGAATTTTGTTTTACCTCACTACCTACCAATATCTTCCATTACTATGAAACGAACAAAAGCGTTTTTTTGCATTTTGAAATAAAAGATAAAATTACTCTTTTCAGATATATTTGTTTATGCTAATAAATTTAAATTTCAAATGCAATACTACCAAATTCCATTAACAAAATCATTAAGTATTTTTAAATTACTTAAAATTAAATTATGCATTGAACTATTTGCATTATATGAAAAGATGTAGAAATGTTTAATAGTTTTTCAAGTTATTTTTCATTGTGCTGAACTAATTGAATTAGAATTAATTTGCAGATTTTGCTTGGTGTATGTAAAACAAATGACAATGGAATCATTGGTAAGGAGTTTCAATTAATTTTTCTGTACCTTGTCAGAAATTTTTATAATATCAGTTCAGTAAAGTTATAAATAGATTTAGCGAGAGATAAAGAAAAATATTCTACATTTGCAAGGAATGGGTAAATTTTTACACAAATATTTGTTTAAATAAATAAATAAATATTTAAACAAATATTTGTGTAAAACACATTTTATTATATATATAATTATATATATAATAAAATGTGGAGGGTTAGTCTTTCTCGCTTTACTAATGCTGGTGCGGTTTCGTATTCCAGCATTACGGCTGTATTTGTCCCGCGCTCAAATTTGTTGTACTGATCTCTTTGCTTCATCCTATCAAATTCCATGGTGGTCATCAACTAAAATGTTTTGGAGCGTCTTCTTGAGCACTAATTGAATATATGCCCCAACGTGATCAGGTATAATGATCTCCTTCGCATAGCGTTTGTAAAGGTTTCTTCCAATTCCATCACAAGTCATCGCATAGGGGATTGTTTTGGTCCTGCATTTCATCTCTGACCCAACTTTACTGGCCAGTACATCATATTTGCGTTTTTTCCCGGTCTCGACTGCTGTCAGTTCCTCTTGATTAGTGATGCCAACCTCAATCAGGATTACTTCACGTCGCTTCCTATCATGTATCATGATATCCGGTCGATCCGCTTTTATTCTGATTGCAGTTCTCACTCGCCTATCGAATCTGATCTCAACATTCTCATTCATGACAATTTCCTGGACTGAAGGGCCTTGCATATGCGGGAATGCTTTCAGATCATACTTTTTGCAGAGTTTCAAGTGGATGTGCGGTTGAACCTCATTGTGTCTATACTAGGCGACACAGTGAGGTCCTGCGCAACATCCATTGAGGCTAGTTCATTGCTGCGCAATGTTGTATAGCTTTGCTTAATGAATTTTCTTTTCTATTTTGCTATACAAGGGCGCGATATAGTTATCTCCAAGACTGCTCCTTCTTCTGGGCTGGTAATACGTTTTCGCATTTTCTTCGAGATTGTATTTAGTCTAAAAGTAGGGTACAATAATTGCTCTCTTCAAAATTGCCGTTCACCGGTTAATATGAATGCGGTTTCTACGAATACATGATGAAACTGCAAAAGCATAAGCTCAATCCTACACTCAACGTAGTGAATCTCACGTTCTAGCTCCTCCATTAGCAAATACAGTCTCTCTAAAATGCAAGTTGACTGCGAATTCCGTACCTATCTGGTAATTGCCTGATATCATGCTCAGTTGCTTGAAAATCCTCTGGTTCATGTTCGAGCACTTCGATGTAATAATTTATTGAACTTTTAGCGTGCTCATTCCCCACCTTGATAAAGTTCTTGTTATTTAGAGCAGTTTTGGCTAACCACTCAATTCTCACTAAAATCTCTGCCCGGAATTTGTGGTAGCTTTCACTGATAGGTGCATTAGTCCTGTCTTCCACTATTATAGGTATTTGTACCCTTGAGTTCGTACCAGTAGCGTCTTATCAGTGCATTCCTCGGTATTAGTGACTGTCTTCACTTGATTCACTTCTAGTCCTACCGCATCAAAAAATTTCTCAACTTCTTCAGCCACAGCTTTCATGATATCGCCATCGATAGCAAGGAGCTTCAGATGCCCCACAAATAATAAAGGGTTCGTTACATAAATTCCTTGATCAGTGGAAATCGCCACCTTTGAGTATCTGATTTTGAGCGTATGGCTTAAAGCGTCCATAAAGCGATTAACAACAAAGTAAGGCTGTCACCTTGAGGGATAATACGCTGCATTTTGTTTTCTATTATATTTCTCCATTGTATTTTAGTACAACTACCTTCAGTAAATATCAATTCATAGGCCAACCATCGGTGGAATGTGGCAATGAATTCATTCGGTTTTCGGTTAAAACTATAAAACCGTTTCATGGTAAATTATTTATTAAAGGACAGCATGCAACAAGTGAATGTGTCCATATTTATACAGCAAATGATGATGTTTCTAACAACGCAAAAAGTTAGACTTTTTTTTGTATTACTGAGATTAAAATTATTTTTCTTTTTATAATTCAAAATTTAACTTTTTGCAAGTCAAAGGTCAATTAGCAATTTTTACTACACTTCTGGATTTGACCATAATATCTTCTTTTTTTTATCACTTTCTATTCAATTCCACGTAGTACAGTAGCAAAAATGTGAGTAAGCAAAATTGTAATCTGATATTAATCTATGTATTAGCAAAATGCTATCAAGTCAGTAGATTAGAGTAAAATATTTTTTGTGTTGCACGCTCAGTAGTTGTGTATTGCATTGCTGTCAAAAAATATTAAAAATCATTATGTGAATTTTTCACAAAATTAGCTCAATTAATAAAGCTAATTCACTTTCTAATCAGATTATAAGTCCAATGTATTATTTCAGCAAGAACATACCACGTATACACAGTAAGGAATAGACAAAAATTAAATCTTAACACACAATAGTAAAGTATAATGCAGTGAAAGAGGAAAGACTTTGCTTTAATATTAAACAATTTGAGACACTGCATGAATGACAGTTCACTTGATTTTTTGTCCTGAAATATTTGAAAAAACGTGGTAATTTAAAATTTAAAAAAAAAAGTTCTGAAAAAAAATTTTTTTCAAGTTTAAACTTTATGGATTACCGAGTTTCCTTGTTTTTGCAGTGTCCTATCATATGTATAATATAATTAAATGAGTTTATATGCTTGAAAATATCAAAACAATCATTATTGGGAAAATTATAAGAAGGCATAACTTTGATCGAATATGTATTTTGCAATGCTGTAAAGTAAAATCTAGAAATAAAGAAGTTTTGTACTACTTTTAGAGATGTCATTTTATTTCACCTTTGCAAATACTACCATCAGAATACTTTATAACGATACTGTCTCAGTTTTATTTAGCTAACTCGATTAAGCTGTTTCCATCACAATCCTTGCAAGATAAATTTAATGGTTCTCGACAACTTGTTTCAACGATTAGTAAAGACTTCAGTTGCCCACCTTGTCCAGTTTGCCAGCAAGTAAGTAAAATAAGGAAGCAACGAGAAATTGCTGAACAAACAGCCGACTTGAAAATCAAACTTGGCTCTTGTAATGCTGAATATGAACATCAGGTTATATTATTTATTTCACTTGGTTGTTTTTTAAATTTGCTAAACAACTGAAAATACTACAGAAATTACAAATGTAATAATTGGTCATCATTAATGTTAGTAGTTTTTATTAATTTGTAATGTATTTCACTCATCGATGCGAAATGAATCTTACATATATTGATAACTTTAGCACTACGCTTCATTAACAATCAAAATAGTATCAAATAATGTCATTGTGGATGGATATTCAGTGCTGCCAGTATAAAAGTTTCATACTTGATTATGAGCGCATAATTTTTTGATATTATATATTATTATATTTTAGATTAAGCCTCGCGCAGTTATTGTATCACTCACCGTTGTTGTAAGTTTTCATGAAAACTTACTTACTAAGTTGGATCGTGCATTTCGTATTCAATGTACTTATATGGAAGGTAGCAAAATGATTGGTACTGATTTGAATGTTAGGTAAATTTTTCGCTTCTTATGCATGAACAAAAGACAACATTTACTGAATTAATTATTATAAATCAGAAACTAAGATAAAATTTTATTAACTATTGTCGTTTACTAAGAATCACTGAATTTTACACTTCTTTATCGTTATTTCAATGTTTTTTACGACTTATATTTTTGTTGTACTCAATTTTAACTTTTTGATTTTTGAAATGGAACAACTTTTTGTATGGAATGTGCTCTGAAAAAATATTTTATACTATGTATATGATTTTTTTTAATTGAAAAAATGTAGATCAAAAGTAATTATTGGAGCACAGTTTAACTTTTATAGCATGCCACAAGCTACTGATTTAGAATCAACGATCAAGCCACCAAATTGTTACTACATGGTTAGAAACTTAGAAGGAAAAGCAATCACTACTGCTCGAGTTGGAGAACTTGTTGAGCATTATTGGATTTGTCAAAGTTCATTTACAGGTGGTTGCTTGCTATTATTGGAAACAGTTAAAAATTTTATGTACAGAATATTTGCTGAAAAAATTTTTTCAATTACAATTTCTAAAAAATATTTCAAAAAAAGAAATATTATTTTGTGAAATGAAATTAATTATTGCAATGAATATGAAATTATATTTAAAGCATAAAGATGAATTCAAATAATTCAACAAAAATTTTTTTTCGAAATAGAAAAATAATAATTAATATAATACTTTGTTTTCAGTCATAGAAAGAAAATTAAAATTTTAGACGTCTATGCAATGCTAGTAAAAAATTGTTACGCTGAAGCAAGCGATAGTTTCAAAGTTCTTGTCATTGATGAAAATGGGTTAGTTCTTTAAGTCACTTATAAATGTTTATTAAACTTCAGCTACCACAACAAAGTGTAGTTTGTTAGTTAACTTATTCTTAAAATAAAAATTTCAAATGGAAGATCCCTTTTTTTTAAAATTGCTAAAGAAATTAGTATTAGTGCTAATTTACTTCATAAACTATTCAATTATTGTTTTATTCGTTTATTTCCTCACAAAAGATAGATAATTATTGTTATTCAACTCATAACATCAGCTATTTATCGCTTTACTCATCCATACTTATAGATTCGATTTAATGCTAAATAAATGATATTTAAGATCAAATGAAATCAATAGCACTTAAAATTAAGTATAACAAAAATCATTCAAAATCATTTACATAATAGTTTTGCGTTCACATACGAAAAATAATGTTTATCGACTTAAGAGGTAATTTATCCTTATGTTTTCCCTGATTTGATATCGAATCTATAGGCATGGCTGAATAAAAGTAATGTTCAAGGTGTTCACTCGATCCATATATACTACCTAATCTTAAATATGCGTCAAATCTATTATCGGTAGCAATCCAGGCGCCTGTTTTCAAATTTCCTGATCGTTCTCAAATGGGATTTCAGTGTGATATTGCAATTTGTCTACGGAACCAGCAAAATTGTAGTTCTATTATTGTAAGTCTTTTTTCTTGTAACTATGGTAATATTTGTAGGAAACAAAAAATACAGTAATAAGCACTTAATATATTGCTTCTTTATTGTAGTTTGTATGTAACACACTGTCTTGAGTAACTGTAGCTCAAAACTGTACTCATTAAAACTCCATTACAGAAGATGTGGAAAGAAAATTGTATGATTTGTTCTTAAGATTGAACTCTCTATAATTTTTTCCTATCGAAAGGCAGAAGCCAAAAATGATCTTATGACTTGATACTAGTAGCTAGAATTGTAGTAGGCTTTGATAATTATTTCTTGTCATATAACACAACTAGCAGTTATTTTATTAGATCTTGAAACATTAAAGTAACTGCAGACATTTCTATATCGTTCATTTATTTATATCTCTTAGAGGCATATTAAATAATGTAAGTAGCAAAAATTATTCCACTAATCATAAGTGACAATGAAAAAAACTTGAAAATGATGCAAAAAATCATAATATCATTTCGCAGCACTTCTTTATGGAATCTTAACAATAAATGATAGTTATATCTCTAGCATTCAACAATTTTTTTTTCTAAAACACTAAAAGAGTTAATTACTTTGCTAGTAGTTACAGTGCACAATTTGTTACTAGATTAAAATATTTCTCACGGAAAATCGAGACAACAGATTGAAAAAACAATTCAAAAATGGTAAAATTTCTTTAGCCACCCAACTGTGTCGACAGCAGACGTAGAAGACGTGAAGTTTTTAACTCAAGCACGCAAGAACTCGTTCTTCGGACGCCAAAGATCAACATTATTGATTTAGGCGATGCAATCCACGGTAAAGTATCCATTGTCATTAACTTCATTGTTCAATTATTAGGATGAAGTTGGACACAAGATAAAACATAAGATTGTTCAAAGACTGAATATTTTCCTTCCATTCTCCAGGATTTTTAGTCGAGAAATTTCAAAAAATATCGGGAAAGACTTGATTATCCAAAATATTGCGAATGAACAACTTCAGTATCCTTTACAATGAATTAGCAGAACACTTCTCATAGATTTTTTTTTCAAAGACTTGGTGAATAAGTCTCCTTCCATTCTCTAGGATTTTGATATGCGCATCTCGACTGGGAAAATCAATTTTTTCAAAAAACTGCCGGACTCCAGACTTCGTCCCACCTCAGTTTTTGAAGGGCACTATATTTTGCCGCCTTATTAGTGTCTTTCTATGTTTCAAATATATTTATAGCAAAATCGCCTGCAAAACAATCGTCTTCGGAATTCTTGAATTCACAGAATTACTGCATGACAATAACCGAGTTCGCCTGCGCAATCTCAATCGCAACATTTGTCGTTACTACTGCAGCAGCCATTATAGGAGCATCAGCTATCAGTAACACTCCTCGAGTACATCGATAATTAATTAATTATTACACAAAACACTGTAGTTCGTTGCCTTTTAACAAAGATGGCAAAAAATATACCTTTTATAGCAACAATTTATTTAATGTTTTAAGAACTTTATAATAAAAAACGCAACTTCTGACACAATGTTCTTTTGGCACGCGGAAATGTAATGGTATTAGATGCTTCAACTAACCTTATTAATTTAGCCTTAGTCTTCTGATGCATTATTCCGAATTACAGCGTCAAAAACTAACTTTTAACTCCTATAAGCGTAGCGCTACTATATGCATTCTTAAAGACAATTTAAATCAAGTGCTAAGACCCAATCTAGCTACTGGTGAAAAAATTTTCTTTATATACCCATTACCATATTTACATTTCAAACGGCATTCGGGACAAAAACTACAATTCTTGCAAGAAAACTTATTGCAAAGTAATGCCCGAAATTGAAAATTGAAAAAATTGCGCGATATTTTGAAATTGAAAAAAGAAAATAACGGTCAAACAAGAAGCAACAATAAAAAATTGTCAAAAAATTATCTGCATGAGGTATCCAAGTCAACTTACAATACAATTTCACGATAAAATGATTCAAAATGTCTTCATTTCAAAATTACAGTTCTAAAAGGGCCTTCTTGGGCCTAATAAAAACTTATCACAGAGAGAAGTCAACAGCTTCTTTCCTTTGTTATTTCCAAAAAATGAAAGTAATCTACTTACACTACACTTTAATGAAGAAATGATTCAAAACATTTTTCCAATCAAACCTGAACAGTAATATGAAATATTAACAATCAATGCCTGCACAGTAATGTACTTCAATACAGTCTGAAAATAATTTCCCCATAACTTTTGCTTCCTTAGGCCTTGGAACAGGTCCATTTGGTCCAGAGTACACAAAGGGAAATCGTAATACATAGTAACGTGCCCAATCTAGACGTAATGGTGCCTCTCCTGTATGATAAACAGCCAATTCTTTTAGCGTCGGCTGAAAAAGCAAAAAGTTTTTCATAATTCAGCTGCCAAGAATGCATACATCATTCGAAGAATGTCTCGGTCAAAAACAAGATTTAGGAGTAATTTTGGCCCTACATTTACTTCCGAATCTCGTTCATCTACAGAAACAAAGAAAATAACCTGAACTTGAGGATTGAGGACTACAGCAACTGGAGCTTTAGGAGTGACCACATGAAGTCGCATAAGCTGCGCACTGACTGATGGTAAACGACGACACGAACATCTTGTCCACACTGATATGTCTGGACAAGTAACTACAGATTTTGAATCCTAAAATAATAAGTCCAAAGGCAAACTTTTTCGATTTTTCAAAAGAGAAGTGTGGACTTTATGTAATTCATGTACAAAGAAAGTAATACGCATTTTTCAGGATGAAAAAACAAGTTCATAAACTGTTGCGAACATAAAGGTACTCAGGATTTGTCAATTTTACGAGAAAAAAAAAGGAATTATGTTAAAAGATTAGAAAAGAAAATAATTGTGGAACTAGATGTTACTTTCACTCGAATATTTACGGACATATCTTGTTTTATGAATTGGTGCCCACGAGGGCACTCATATTCGAATCCAATGAAAAGCTGAAAAATACATTAATAGCAATACCTAATGAAAAGCTTTAATAATTCAATACTAGATTTAAATGTGACCACATGAAGTTGGGTCACTCTTAAATCGATTTTTTTGTTGGTAATTTTAAGCACTTATTTGTTTAAATAATAGAAACGACGGTTACATTGAATTATTACGGAACTGCCAATTTCAAATGTTCACTTTACATGACACAATACCTTCACTCTTTCTTGATTTTCGCCGTTATTTCTCATTATGCGCTTTCTTATACCGTACGTATCACCGATAATTTTTCTCATATCAATTTCCCATTTCTCGGAGTCAACTGCCAAAAAAACATCAACTGATGTGAGAAATTGCGATCTGCTTTTGGAATTAGACATGCGAACACCAGTTCTATGGCTAAATAACTTTTGACTGTCAAATAATGTGTTAATTATTATCAACATGATAAATACTGTGTATCTAAACAGAAACTAGCTAAGGACCTGTATAAACTTGATTGGCCAATGCAGACAAGTGACCATGAGGGGAAAAGCGGTCTCTTTGATGGTGAGTCTGTATTGGGCACACATTCCAAAAACTGTCCTTAAAGATAGAGAGTATTAACAAAATTACAGTTAAACAAGATATGAATAAACTGAAAAGTCTATATAAGTAGAAATATATATAATGTACTGCCTTGGTGTGATTCTCTTAAATTTAGCAGCTTTTCCTCAAAATCTTTTGCACTATCAATTTTCCCAATATTTTCATCCATTTCTCGCAACTGTACATCATCATCATCTAGATAAGACACATGGGTTTCTGTTTCCGCTTCTATTTCTGTTTCCACTCCACATTCCATCTCAGTCTGTATATTCAATTCCATACCATCTAGTGATAACGACTCGAAGCCATTCACAAGCTGCAAAAGATTTCCAGGAAATTTCACATAGCCTTTCTATTTGACTTTCATGAAAACTGATATTAACTACTTTCTGATGCGCTTCTTCAATACGTGATTGTTCAAATTCCTCCACAGATTCTTCCTCATCATAATTACTTTCCGTCTCATCAAACCCAAGCTCGTCAGATTTTTCTACATCTGATGATATTGAAACTTTTTCTACTTCATTTTTTATGACGTCGGTGGCCCGAACTACAATATGCAAAAACACATGCAAATTATAACCTTTAAAAACATAAATCTTCGAAACAAAATTTCAAAAAAAAAGATAGACTTCATTCATTACGACTCTGAAGCACTACTCGTTGCACTGTTATTATGTTTGCATATAAATCAAAACATTTCGTACTAGAACAGGATCAAACATACTGAATTGCAACAAAGAATTATCACTTTTGCGAGGTGACTGAGCAATTTTCTGACGTACTTCATCTTTAACAAGAGGATTATCACCATCCAGTAGCATGTTTAAATCCTCTAAACACAACGATGCAAAATAAGATATTCAAATTACTTCAAAAATTCATGATACACGGATTTAAATATAACGATAATTAGAATATACTTCATAATTTGAAGAAATGCAAAATTACCTCCTTCAGTCAATTGTTCTGAAAGCTGCACAAGACTACTTTTTGAACAAGACAATGACTTTTGAGATTTATCCCACGATGCAGCATCATCCAGAGCTTCGTTATTAATGTTACATGGTTTGAAAGTTACGAACTCATATGACATTCCATTTTTGCAACATGTAAACAGAGGTCGCATGTAAAATTCGTAATTAGCTTCCTACAAGAAGAAAATAATTACATTTGCGCCGATAATTTCATTATTTAAAAACTCATGAAATCCCGGGATATTTTTATAAATGTTTCATGTACTCGAAGTGATTATGTTCTTATGGAGTTCAGGTACTTCAATTCGTTAACTCAGTTAATTTAACTTCAAGAAAAATCGATAACATATAACAGTTGGAAAAATAATAAACCCGTAAAGAAAATGGATCGTCACGGAAGGCTTGTGAAAATCCACAATTGCACGCTGAAAGAAAACGAATTCCACTTGAATGAGACGTTCGTTTTGAGGCAGGTACATCGACATCCGAAAAGGAGCAATGCACCTGAAATTCTGGAAAACTTCACTGACTGAGCAGCCTTTTTTCCGCAATTTGTTTGGACTCATGCACACAACAGGACTAGCACTTACGACGATCTCCGTCGATTGTAAAAGCTACATTAATAAGACAACTTCTTAATTCTTGAATTGGAAAGACGCATCTGCTGAGTGAAGAAAATTAACTGCATAGAACAAACGAAAAATGATGGTAACAGACTATTGCAAATGCTATTACTATATGTTCAATAGCTTTCAAAGTTTTGCCTTTACTTATTTGCAGTAAATTTAAGACAAACTTACCGGTAAGGAACACTCATTCCCATAAAGCGAAAGAAATCCACAAGCTTTTTCCATGGCCCACTGCAGTTCACATTCCTTCTTCAAGATTTCTTTGGCTTTACTTAGTTTTGTGCCACGGTAAATATACTCCAGATGTTCTGTTGCACGTAACAACTAAATTGCATATATTTCATGTACATAAAAACATTAAATTATACGACTCTTCAGAAGCTAAAATGACAAATTTTTCCACGTTAAATAGCTCTAATAGAGAATCAACGACGTATGATCGACCTTAATTTTATTCTTCTAAATAAAATGGATGAGCGATTATTTTAAAATCATAACGAAGCTATGATGATGAAATGTAACCAATATTTGAAAATAAATAAAAGCTAACTTTGGCTTCATGTTGCTTTTTAGTGAAAACCTGTGGCTGTGTAAACATGCAAGGATTCACGCTAGTTTGCATATAATAATTCTTAGCTTCTTCTATAGAAGTCTTCTCTGTACTTAAATACATTCACTATTTAAAAATAAGTTTACGACAGTAAAGGGCTCTTGATGGGCACATTTTCAATAAGACCAGAAAAATCAAAATTGTCAGATATCCCATAACCAGGACCGCATTATTGGAAGCCTGTCTTCATGATGACTTCCACATGGTTCAAACTTCTTTAAATTTCCATCCACATTTTGTGTGAATCTATTATGTTTATAAGCTGGCAGAGAATGGTCATATTGAAACGAGAAAAGATTACTAATGAAAACTACCTTCTTGAGAATAGCAGTTCGCAATTGCAAATGTTGTCAATATCAGAATTACTAATAATACGTGATTGAAATATAAGATCATAAAGTGCCTTACCACCAATCAATAGCCACTTCAATGTAGGCACCTACAAATTCTGATTGAGAACGTTAATAAGAGTCCAAAAATGGTAGTCTTAAAATATACCTAATTTTTTAGCTTTTTTTAGGCTTTACAGTCAAAAAATTCGATTATATCAAAGGTAACGACATTAGTATTTCAAATTTAAAAAATAACTGCATAAAAGCATCTTCTTCTTTCTTCTTCCTGTCGCACAAGATTGATATGGAATTTTAAAAAAGCTCCGAAATCACTGCTTTGGTTTCCGACCTCTGCAATCTCACTATTTAAAACCAAATTAAATTCTTCAAATCAAAATTTAGCAATGAAATAACTTTGCCCACTGCATGAATATGCAGAAGCACTGATAATCCATGGATCAACGTCAACATTATCACAATTCAACCTTTTGTCCTTAATTGAACGTAATATGATCAAATTACAATAATTTTTCATACCATTTCTGTAACACTATATTTTCTCTTTTAAAAATGAGCACACACACAAAATATTTTCGAAGGTTGCATGCAGTAGTTTTAAAGAAATATCGGAAACTTTCTTATCTACTTTCAGAAATGAAAGTAGATTAAACGAAAATATAAAAAGTATAGTAAGCCTCTCAATTAATTAAAATTTGAGACAAGACCATTTTCTTCGATGTCTTCATATTTATCATTATCTTGACCAATCAACATCAATAAACTGTCTCGGATGCTATTCCTATAAGTTTCTCCAGCCAAAAAAATATAAACGAATGGTTCAGTAGGTCTTGATAAGCTACACGGATAATCTCTAAATAATTTACATATCAGCTGAATTATGATTATAAACAACAGAAAAACAAAAAATACTTTAATCTGAAAACTGGTTCGGAGTGAACACACACTCATATGGAATGAAAATTTTAGAAGTTGCTTACCTGTTATTGGCTCCAATAACATCATATAACTGCATACAACGATATGATTGTTGGCCTAATTTCTCTACAAGTTTGATCCTTGATTCTTTCTAAATTCAGCTATATATTTTTATATCTTTAAAAAATTTTAGACTTCTTCAAATGATTATCCCAATACTTACCAACAGAGATGTGAATAATAGTTGCAGTGCAACATAAAAGTTTTTCAGTTCTAAATCACAAGAAATTTTTTGTCATGTCCAATGATCTATTTAACAAATGAGAAATCTGAATTATCAATCTACCAGTAAGTTTTCGAAAACAATATGAAAGATGCAAATTAAGAAGGAATAAAATAATCAAAACTAATCTCGGGTAATTCCTAAAGAACTTGACATTTTCAACATCTTTACATTGTTAGCTGCCGACGATATTACTAAATTATTATAATTGTTATGAAAAACAAACTTTTTTAATTTCCTTTTATGTTGAACTAACGCAAAAATTTTGGTCAAACCGATAACCTGAAAATAAGAGTAAGATACCTTCCGAGTGGAATTCAAGTCACCGCGAAGCAAGTGACGATGGAAACCAAAAAGGCAACGCGGCGTAGCTAATCGCCCTTCAACAGCCCAATCATTTGGAAAACCCATAATATCTCCTAATCTGTTCTTAACATGTCTTTGACACAATAAACGTAGCTTATTTGCTCTTTTAAAATCCCGGCAACAACTCTGGTCAAATCGACAGCCTGGTCCCATGTAAATGAGCAAATGAGAATATAATAGTAGGAAGGTTAAACATCGTATATGATCGGTCTCTTGTGACGAAATAAGCTCAAAAAAATCCTAAAAGATTTACAATAACTTTCACAGTTTAAATCGGACAACAGCAACGAGCAATATCAATGCAATATTCGAACACAACTACAACTATAACAGTACTTCTAAACGTCCAATTTAAATAATCGTTTTATTCGCTATACATAAAATTCTATTTACATTTAAAAAAATGAATATAAAGATATGCAGCTTACCTTTGATTTGTTTTCTTCTCTTTCTAAGATCTGTTCTAATGCATACATATCGGAATAACTAGTGAGCAGTAAAAAAAGAGTTGAGAGCTCGGGAGCATAATAAGCATCTATCTAAAAGCAAAATTGGTCAGATTAACGAATTTGTGATTTTGCAAAATAAAAAATACAATTACTATAGAATTTTCAAATTCCTGAAAAATATCGTAATGTTCCATCAAAGAGAAAATGAAGTCAGATAACTTGGTTAATTTTAAAAGAGATGTATTAAAAACGGAAAGATACAAACACATTGATCTTGACAACTAATGAATACCGAAGCCGAGCTGTCTTTCATGAAATTTGAGTTCATGAAGGCAGGAAGTTGAAGTAATCTGTTGATTGGTTCAGCTTTCGAACATTCACCGGAAGATTTTCCGATTATTCCAACAACAACAACACGTCTTCCTTCAAATAGAGATAAACTGTATTTGGAATCCGTAAGCCATTTAAGCAAAGGTTCCGCAAGCTGAGTAACCATTCTTTCTGCAATACTAATACTATAAGGTCAATTCATATTATGACAGAACATGTCATTTAATAATAGCAGGCTTTGCAATGATTTCAGAACATAATTTGTAGGATAAATTTCTGGTTTTTAGACCTTTTCTATTTAGGCAGTCGTTTCTAGAACTCATAGTATTCTTTTAAACCAAAAATTACATAAACTTTCAGTAATTCATATTAAATGACCACACTTAGCAACGTAATTAATAAGAGTACAACATGCCACAGAACTCTGATATTCACTGTATATATGTGCGGGAAATAAAACGACCAAATGTACAACGACCAAATGTACTACTCGAATCGTGACATTTCGCAAATTTCTAACTTCCACATTTCTTTTATTATAGAATGTTTTCAGTCACTTACAATTTCTCATTAATCTCTGCCTCTCTGCTGAATATGTAATGTTTTTAAGCTCCCTCTGTAAAAATTCTATAATTTAAAACAAGTAATTCATATATTTTTCTTGTACAATTTTTCATTATTCTTATTATTAATTTAATTAAATTTAAATTTCTCAGGCATTTTGGATTCATTGAAATAATTCTGTTAAGACTGAAATCTTTCTCGTAAAATTTTTTTAAAAATTAAGCAAAATTTTAACAAATTTTGGCATTTTCTTATTACTGCTGTTATAATTGTTATGATTATGTAAAATGACTTCAGTTACCACAATAAAACTTCAGTATTTTGTTATTAAAGGTGTATTCAATTTTAGTATTTTTTATATTAAATAATCAATAACAATTGATGCTACATACTGAACATGATGTATGTAAATATCTTTAATTTTTACAAACTCTTTATAAGAGTATTATTTAGTTTTTCTGATTTATTACTTTGTCTAACAGTAAATTACTACTTCTTTGTGGTATATTTTCCACTCTGTTTCAAAAAATTAGCGTTTAAAACATTCTAAAGAGTCAAAACACAAAAATGATAGTTACAATGAACTTATTAAAAATTTTTTTGCCATAAAAAACTTGGCAATTTAGTGTATTTGTAAACTATCGAATTCATTACTTATTGGTTGTTAAATACCAGCGAATGACAATGATTTTTTTATCTTTCATTCACAAAACGTAGTAAAATTAACTTATTATTTTTTTACTAAAATAATGAACTTTTATCACAGTGTAAATACTTTTATCTATGTAATCAGAGGTCAAATATTTTTGATAAATTTTATCACAAAAATATTCTTAAAGTATGAGAATTTCCATTCTAAAAAAAATAAACATTTATTTAGCATTACTTTTAAATAAAATATTAAAATCATTACCAGTCTATATTTCTTATCTTTGTTTCATGCTTTTCAAAATTGAATTTAAAAAATTTGCAATTTTTGTCTTGTATTTTGTTTGTATTTTTTTTTTCAGTTGTACAGCGCTATCACTTAGTGATAGCGATCAGTTCTGAAATGATATAAAATCACGAGGCAGTAAAGGCACTTTTTCATTGAGTTCATCTTGTGAGCAGATTGTGTCCATCACCTCGATAGTATGTGATTGTCCAACACCTGCAAAAATATTTATATCTAATTTTTATATGTACTGTAAATACGAAAAATTTGCACACTAACAGAACAGAAAATTATAACAGATTAAATTTAGAAGAATAAAATCTTTTAATTTCTTTTATTTGATCAATTATTAAAAAGTTCAGTCCACTACTACGTATTTTCTATGTATAACAAAAATAAGTGTGAAAAAGGCATAAAATTGCCAAAAAAGGCAAACATTTAGGCCGAAATTCAAGTTTATCTGTTTTCACAAATAATGCTCGAGATAACGGAGAGCGTTGACCATCTTTAAAACACGCCATAGCACAAAACATATAAAACCAATCGTAACGTAGATCAGGAAAAACAACTTTTTGTGAGTGTACTGTAATTCGTTCCCAAGCGGAAAAATGAGCGTCTGGTCTTTCAGTGTAATAAACTACATAACTCTGAAATTAAAAAATTGGGATTTCAGTAGAGCGAAACTAAATTAGTGTTTCAGTATATATAGGTATTAATTTTATTATATGCATTCAGAATTTTCGAAATTTAATATTTGTTTTCTGACTGAATTCTAAGTAAATAGTAGAACAAGTTACGTGTCACTCACTGTTACATCTCTTGTTCTTTTGTATGGTGGTTCCCAGGAAAGTTCAATGGTATTTGCATTTAATCTTCGAGCAAGTATGTGTTGTGGGCTGAGTTGAGGTTCTGCAAATTCAAAAACAGTTAATTTAATTACTAACATCAATTTGTAATAAATTTTCATAGCTTACTTCACTACTTCACTAGTGTATATTTAAATTAGTAATAATCGATGCTCTATTTAAAATTTTTTTCGATAAAATTGAGTAGTTTTTGTTAGAAATATTTTTACAGAAGCAAACTTTTTCAGAAAAATAGAAAAAAAGAAAGAAATTAACCTGTATACTGCACTAAATAAATTGGTTTACTTTCACCGTAGCGTGAAACAGCAGTAATCCGAAATTCATACAAAGAACATGAATCAACACTCATTATTTCTGCTGAATGACCTTGAATACCACGTAATTCACGCATTTTGCTATTTTCTTGATGTCTAAATAAGCATGTTTTAAAGAAATTATTGTTAATATAAATCACTATGGTAAAATAATTTTACGTTCTTTGATTTATTTGTTGAAGCAGATTACAATTTAAGTATGATTTTAGCTTCAACTAATTAATTTGAACTTTATTACTGCTTGGTTCTTAATATTGATGAAAAAATGTACGGAATGAAATTAAATATACAAGTACGACAAGTGGAAATGAAAAATTAACTATGAAAATAATGTTACAAAAATGATCCTGATTAACTATATCCTCTAAATTTATTTAAGTTCTTTCATTTTAGATCAAATTTAATCAAGACTGGCTGAACAAACTTGATCCGATAGCGTATATTGTAGGTAACTTTGTCATCAGCTGAAAATGCAGGTGCCCAAGCAAGTCGTACCGAATACGCAGATGTAGAGACGACTTGACATTCTCGAGGTGGATCTGGTGGTAAACGAGCGAACATGAATTTACCATCAGGTACTAAATTATGCACACTTTTTTAATTCTTAATTTACAACTTTTAAAAAATGAATCATTTTTTTGGATCACTTAAAGTTTGATTTAATGTGCCTTGGAATTCTGATATACAAGGCTATGTTTCAGTAATTAATCTCTCTGTAGCAATATTTAATTTTTAAAATGATTTAAAAGTTCGTTTTCAAAAAAGATTCGAATTTTTCTAGCAATTGAAACTGACATTGGCGTGATCCGCGTTTTCGATACCTCTCACGTGTTCTGTGTTTTCCTGCCATGCCATCAGAACTATTACGATGCGCAAATATCATACCTTTGGCTAATTCAAGAAGTATACTCGCAGTTGCTTGACGTCGTCTTCTAAATTATATCATCTTTTAGGTATCGTGCGAATTTTACTACTTCTAAAGATTTGAAGTTATAACAAGACAGAATATCTGCTTATAAGTACTTTTGAATCAAAATTGTTACAAATTCAAATTATTGGATTAAAAATATATTTTTAGCTCATTTAAAACAAAGATTAAAAAATTTTCAACACTTTATTATTAGTATTTTTTGTTATATTAATTGGAATTTAACGTCCTTTTTTTCAAAACCTAAACCGAGTTAAATTAGATGGCCAGAAAATCGAAAACATCGTCAATGATTTGCAAAAAATTAGATTCCACTTCATTTTAAAAAATTTATAAAATGAGTATAATACCTTGCTTTTGCTTCACGAATTAAAAAAAATGGATTATTTGTCTTAATTTTTCGTCCAAGATAATGAATCTCTTTCAGGTACATCCTGCCAACTACATCCATGCACATTGTTGTCAAAATTATTCCACCCATAATTACACATAGTACTATTAACATGTTTTGAGGTGCTGGACGATAATCTCCGAAACCTGTAATTTTGTAAGCTTTAAATTACAAGACAAAATTAAAGAAAGTTGTATTTATTAATTTCAATGAATAAATTTTATACTTATAGTAAATGACCATTACTTTCAGTTTTTTCAATGACTACAAAGTAATAAAATTTTAAATTTTATGAAGATTCTTAGTAAATTATAATAATAATAATAATTATTTCTTACTTATTATGATAAAATTACTTCTCGGTTAAATGACCTGAAAAAAGATCTACTAACCAACAGTTAGAATGCTAATAAAAGTGAAATACATTGATTCCATATATGTCCAGTGTTCCTTTTTTTGAATGATATATGAACCAAAAAGTCCATAAAAAAATACAAATAAAAATACTATTACTGGTGGAAAACGAATTAATTTCACTTTTTCTAAAAGTTCCTGAAAAATTGTAAAAATAGAATGAAATAATAATTTATTATTTATTGGGTGAACTTTTGGCTACATCTCAATTTTAATTCCCAAGTCAAAATTACAGTCTTACTGTAAAATTCATTAGTACTGTATCTAGTTTAAAATATGATAACTAAATATGCAAATTATTTGTTAGTATACAAAAATTAAAACTTTTATATATTTTAAGCACATAAAAAGCTCCGTACTAAATTATTTGTGACAAATAAACAAAGAAATTACATAAGTACCTTTATAATTCATATAAAACTAATTTTTTATTCACTCCAAGCTAAATTTGTAGGTATAAGTGAATGTGGTCATTAATCCACGAATATGGTAATGTGTAAAAAATTATCAGCGGTCGAATATTTTTTTCTTATTATGTACTATCACTCTGGATAAAATTATCATTTTAACAGTTCATTAAATGATTGCTATCTTTCACATGTAAATTAGCAATAAGCTATTGTTTTTTTAAATGCAAATTAGACGGAAATTATTTGGAACAAATAATTAAAATCGAACTTGTTCTGTTTCGTTGTCGCAAAAAATAGGTCGAAGTTCATTAAGAGTAAATCCTTTTCGGCGATCTTTCCATGTTACCCACATCTTCCAGCATTCGTAATGGATTAAAAAAGCGCACTCAGATATGAACTTGGCAATATTAGCTACTGTTACTAAGGTTAATGGAATGCCTAAAATCAAACCAAAAATCTTATGCAATAAAGTTAGTCTATATATGATAATAATCACCATATTAAGTCAATTATTAGTAAAAGCGTTGATTTATGTTGCAATATTTAAATAGAATAATTAATTATCAAAGCATGTTGTTGTTATAATTGTAATCATTTTTTCAGCTTACCAATCAAACAATAAATGACTCCGAACAAGCGTCCCTGGAATGTTGATGGTGCAACATAACCGTAGCCTATAGATGTCAACATTGTCGCAGTAAAGAAAAATGATGTAATAAAATCCCAGCTAGGAGCATCTGTATCGTATCCATGACGGTATTTACGATGAGCAGCAAATACAGTATCAACGTACTATACAAAAATATCGCATTTAAAAAATTTTAACAATTACAATAATTATGTACATCATGAAATATAAACTTTATTAAGTAGTATTTCGAAGGCTTACTTTATCAAATTGCTCCTTACTATCTTGTATGAATGCATCTCTAAGTTTTGAACTATCAATCTCCCGATATTTCTCTGAATGAGCCAAGTCCCAAATTCGATCCATGTATTTTTCCACGCTTACGTCGATTCTATTTAATTCAGCTGCTTTCATATCCTAGACAAAGTACTACTCTTATTGCGCAGTATAATTTGCTATCTCCACAGTAATAAATTATTACTATTTCTTGAACTTTTTCTTGATCTCTCTCTCTATATATAAACTAATAAAAAGTTTTGGAAAAATAACTGTAATGACTCTGTGCTTAATTAATTGAATATTTAATTTTTATCGTTTCCAATGATTAATGTTAGTAGTTAGTTGAATGTCTTACTAAAATTTGAAGCAACTAAAACAATGCAAGCTTTTCTCGCTTTTTTTTTGGAAGTAAAGTGATAAAAGTAGAAAAAAAACTGTTTATTAGAAGTAATATTAGAATATTTTGATCATTATAAAATAATTGCTATCAAGTTCACTTGGTGATTGTAAGCTGTATTTGATATTAATTATGATAAATGAATGTTCACATCTTTGACATCTTTTTAGAAGTTAGCATGTAAAGTAGCAAACCTTCAAATGGTGCCCTTCAAGCGCTTGGAAAATCCATGCTCCAATTACCATGTATAGAATACATGCAACTATTAACGCGAAATGCGGGGAAATTATTCTCGTTAATAGTAATCGCCATAAAATCCTTTAACAATTTATTTATTTTTGCATATACATTAGAGAAATTACACTTACAAAATGAGCTTTGAAATTAATATTAAGTTAAAATGATATCAATCATTTGAATACGCTATTTTCCATAATTGATATTATTTACTCATTTGAGAATTATAGTAAAGAGTGTAAATAATTTCATCTTACAACTTTATTAGTAATTTATTTCTGTTGTGCAATATATGCATTCAATTATTTGTAAATCAAAATTTGCATATATATAATATGTAAATAAATTATGTTAGTATGAAATACAAAAATTAAATAAGTGTGAAAAAATTTTAAAACTTAAAAAAGATATGAAAAGTACCTTAAAAAGGGCATTATGGTGAGTTTGTTGGAATATTCGTATTTAAAATTGGTGTGGCCATTTTAGGCATATTTTTGTTTGTTATCGTTTCATCGAACTTTCACACATCAATACGTCAAAGTGTATGGAGTATGATAACAAGAGTAATAGTTGAAAAAGAAGAGAATAAAGTAAATTCAGCGTGAAATTTGATCTTTTTCTTTCAAATATTTCAGAAAATTGAGCTACAGAAAATCCAGTGGGAATCAAAATTCAATATTTGCTCCTTTTCAACTTTTCAAACACTCTTTATTTAGTAAAATTTGAGATAAAAAGGTTATTAAGTAAGCAGATATTATTTTATTGTTGTATTGTTTAGTTTTGTTAATTATAATATTTGATTAGTTTACTAACTTGGTTAGCAATTAAATAAGAATACAAAATTGATGAGATAGATGTGTTGTTTGTTTTAGCTAAAATGAAATAACTTATCAAATTGCTATGAAATTATTAATAAAAATAATTATTATTAATATGCTTCTTTAATAATAATCAAAATTTATTTAATAGTTAAATAGATAATAATGATACTTAATGTGGTTATAATTATTAAGAAAAGTATTAAAGATAAGATTATGTTAAGTTGAGTTAAGTTGAGTTGAGATAAATTATGCAAATTAGGATTAGCTAGCTTCCTTTTGAAGTGATATGCTTTTATTTTACGAAAATTTTCAAAATAAAAACTATTAGTAAGCAGGTAATAAATAATAGTATTTATCTTTTAATTCCACTTCATTTCTTTTCAAGGAAATAACAATAATATTTTCGATATTTGAAATGAATGAGATGTTGGATGGAAATAAAAGAATCATTTGTTTAAAAGCAAAAAAGTATTTAAAATAAAATTTTCACATTATCGAAAATTAATGACAAATCCAATTATTAATCTATTATTATTAATATCTTTTTTAAATGCGTATAATTTGATGACAAATAGCACAAAGTTCAGAAGTAAAAAAATAATTTCTGCAAACACAATAAGTATTCTTTATTAGTTTTGTTGAAAAAAATTTGCATAAAAAATATCTTTAATTTTATAACTTAAAAAATCGTTTATTTCATCTTTTACTACATTATTATTTGATTTAAAACTTTTTTTTAGCATTCTTTATGTTAACATAATGATAGCTTTTTATGATATTGTAATGAGCGAAAAAAAAAACGAATTATTTATTTATATATTTTAAAAGAACGAAAAAGATTTGCTCGAAAGATTCAAAATAAAAGATTATTTTTTAAAAATTTTATGAATAGTTCAAAAAAATCTACCTATTCAATTTATATTTAATCAAAAAAAAAGAATAAAAGCAAAATTTTTCAAATCTTACAATTGAGAAAATAATAGCTAATTTAACAATAATATGCAGCATTAATTTCTATATAAATGAAGCATACCTCAAAATGAAATGGAATGCAAAAAAACAAGCAGCAAAAAAAGACTTCTTCTGAAGGCTTATTTATGATGTTCTTTAAAGCAGTGAATTTTATCGTTATTATTTATTGATTTTTGAGGATTGTCATTTTAATTCAAATTACAATGTACTAAAAATTTCTTGTAATTCTAAATCATTTTTATGTGCTCTTCACAATATTCTTCTTACGATCATAAGTTATCATAAATTTAAATCAAACAGAAACATTTGAAATGTTTGTAAATTTTGTATTTTTTTGATCGCAAATTACTTGAAAGCTTATTAAATAATTTTATTTTTTTAAAAAAAGGTGGTTTGCAAAAGTAACCAACAATAACTTTGTATAAGCATTTCGGAAAGTATGATCTTAAGACAAGAATAAATAATTTTAACAAATTTAAATTTAAAAATTGAGGCTTTTTTTAATCGAAATATGAAATGTCTGTTGCTAATTAATCAAAAAGCATTATTTGAATATTCATAATAAGCTTTTTGCATATGGTTTTAAAATAATTTGATTTTTAAATAATTTTAAACTAATTATTAATCTTTTAAACATTTTCTAAGATAATAATTAATTATAATTCTAATTCGATGACTTTAAATCAGAATTGCATTTCCTTAAATGATTATTTCAAAGCAAATTGAAGAAATAAAAAACGAATAAATAATTTTAACAAATTTAAATTTAAAAATTGAGGCTTTTTTTAATCGAAATATGAAATGTCTGTTGCTAATTAATCAAAAAGCATTATTTGAATATTCATAATAAGCTTTTTGCATATGGTTTTAAAATAATTTGATTTTTAAATAATTTTAAACTAATTATTAATCTTTTAAACATTTTCTAAGATAATAATTAGTAATAATTCTAATTTGATGACTTTAAATCAGAATTGCATTTTCTTAAATGATTATTTCAAAGCAAATTGAAGAAATAAAAAATTTATAGTCATTAATTTTTTTACTCAATTTCTTTATTACTTATATAATGTTATTATTTTTTCACTTTTTCATTATGATAAAATTTATTATTTCAAACCTACACTGTATTAATGCAAACGACGCATTGGTAATTTCAGTATTAAATAAGTATTAATTACTATTTGATGAATAAAAGCAATAGCATTATTATGGAATAATAATTTAAATAAATTTTTGAATGTTTTAAAAAACTTTCATCATGTTTTAAACTATTTTGTTTTGAATGTCAGCAGTGAATTAGGAAAAAATAAAAAAATCAAAAATAATGCACAAATTTTGCACCCTTCTCTTCTTTTTTTTTTTGCTTAGTTTTTTTTAAATACTATTGCTCGTAGCATTTGTCAATCATTCATTCAGTATATAGCTTCAAATTTTGAATAATTTTGAATTATTTAAGTAAAACTTATTAAAGTTTAGTATAAGAACGAATTTTGAAATGCCAAAAGCAACTTTTGGTTGCATAAATAAAAACAGAAAATAAGCATTTAAAATAAATCTTTTGCGTAGCGTTACACAATTATATTATAATTATTAGATTGATTTAGTTCTTTAAAATAAATTTGTTACTTTGCATTTTCAACAATTTTAAACAAAAAAATTTTTTATTTTATTTTTAAAATAAGTAAATAAAAAATGTTAAGTTATACAAAATAATTCTAACATTAGTATCAATTCATGTATTAATCAATGTATAATTAATTTTGATTAATTTAATAATTGTATATCATTTATTTAAAGATTTTTTCTTTTTTTTTTTGTTCTTTTTATTCTTATAAATCTTTACCAACTCATGGATATTTTATAAGCAGTTGCTTCAGCAAAAACATAGCATTAGTCAAAAGAATGCATTTAAAAATGCTTCTAGTTAAAAAGCACTGAAATCCACTACATTTTACTGAAACTTACTTTCCTTCAGAATAAGACATCTTGCAGTATTGTTTCAAACTAAGAGCAAAAGCTTAACTTGGTGTTTTTCTTCTCACGTGAACTTGCTTTTAGTCACTTAAGTACATGAATAAATTTTATTTCATTTTTTTAAAATTTTATTTCAATTACAGTGCTGAAAGCAGACAACAGCATTCAGTTATAAAGTTGTATTTCAAGAAGTTAAACAAGAAAGCACTCGTGTCACGTAAACTTCACTTTATTCTATCCATCTATCTATCTATCTATCTATCTATCTATCTGTCTATCTATCTATCTATCTATCTATCTATCTATCTATCTATCTATCTGTTTATCCATCTATTTATCTATATATCAATCCAATCACTCAAAAACTGCAAAAGTTAGATTACACATCAAAAGGCAAACATATAGAGTTGGAAGTTTAAGCCAAACTTTCTGCTGTGCAAAAGTAATCTCACTTACTTTCTTGTTTCAGTTAAGTTTTATTTTAAAAATTTTTAGTATTTATTTACTAAAATATAATAATGTAAAAGAAGAAAAGCGGCAATGTTTAAATTAATTCTCAATGCATTTATTCTTCTTGTATAAATATAATTACAAGATAAATTTTTTCAACAATTAGTTAATTATAAGTAAAAAAGTTCTCACATATTCATGAAATTATACATCGCATTGAGTTATCATTTATTGAATGCTTTTGATTCCTTAATCAAATCATATTGAATTCTAATAATAGACATTATTACTTCTTGATTATTTATTACTTTGTTTACTTCATTCATTACTTTAATGATGATAACGAAGGGATAAGAAATGAAACTTACAAAACTTTAAATTTATTTTATTACGATTAAAAAATTTAAAGAAGTAAAAGGAATAATCACTTGCTAATATATAAGAGTCTGAAGATCTGCTTTATTTATTTATTTTTGTATAATTTGATAAAAATTTTTCATGTTAATCAAATGAAGACATTGTAGGAAACAAATGGTATTCTCGGAAGAGCTGGGCTACGATCCCGATGAATGGGAAGAATGTTCAGAAAGCCAACAATTTATGCTTTTTGGCTTCTATACAAGGATGTTTCTTACTTTTTCTTCTCTAGCACTTACACTTCTCTTTTTCTGGTTACTTGAAGCTAGAAAGCAATCAGAAAAATTAAACAATAATAATGATAATAAAATTTCTAAGGTAATAATTATAAAATCTTATGCAGTTGTGATTTTCATTATCATTTCAATTTTTTATCTTTTTATCAAATTCAAATATCTCAGTTTTGAATTTCAAATGATTTAATGCAATTAATTATTCATTTGCATAATAAAAATAATATTAGTACAAATTTTGTTCAGTGATAACTATTTTTAATAATAATTAATTATTGAATTGAAGGATAATATTTGTATAAATATTTGTAAATTTTGCTTTCTTACACATATTTTGAATTTTTATATTCATTTAAGAATGTGGATAATATAAAAAGGAAAGAACTGGAAGCTGTAAAGGAAAAATTAAAAGAACTTGAAGAAACAAGAAAAGATATATTGTCTTTTAGCAAGTTTGTTTGCTTAATATTTTTCATTGATAAAACTTAAGGGAAAAAAATGATAAGAGTAACTGAATTTAAACTGATTAAAGTCTGGATAAATTAAAAGTTTTAGCCAGAAGAATTTTTTAAATATTTACTAAATTTTTTTATTCAAAGGGAAGAAAGTGAGGCATTAGAAGAATGGCAACGAGAAGTTGCTCGTATGGAACGATCACGTTTACAAGATCTCGAAGGATATGTGGTAGATGCATCTGGAGCAATTTCTGAAATTGATACAGAATCTCAGCTCATTGATCGTTTTTTACCAGCTGATCATATATCATTAGATACAAATAGCGCTGAAACAGAACAATTTCAAGCCCAGCTGTAATTTTTTAATTTATAACAAAAGTATCACATATTTAATAAAAATAAGCCAAAAATTTTTTAAATATAAAAACGATTTTTTTATTTAATATAAAAATTTGAGTATTTATTCTCTATTTTTTTTGGACGTAAAATATTTAAAAAATTCACCCACTTATCTTTCAATTTTTTACAAAGAGAAATACAATATGACACCATTACTAATAGAGTAAATTTATCATAAAATAATATTGTGAATATCAATTTTTTTGCATTAAATATTTAAATTTTCCTTGAGAGAAGTAGATCAAATGTCACAGTTGTTCTTAACAAGGCAAACAATTGACAGCGATGCAGCAAATTATTCTTCTCCGAAGGTAAGAAATATGAATTATTAAATAGAAATTGAATTTGCATATTTAAATTAAATAGTGTAAACTTTAGTTTATTTGTTTTATGGCAAGTTTTTAGTGAACTTTTGCAGCGTGCCAGAAATATCATCGTAAAAGGCGCCGGACGAGAAAATGGGTAATGTTTTCGTGTCTTGTAAATAATAATTTTGTTGTGCATACATATACATTGGGATATTTTGACGTTATTAGTTGCAGAAGTATCAACAGCAGAAATGATTGGAAAGCTAACGAACAGTCGGTAATGTTATCGTAATGATTATTATTATTATTATTATTATTATTATTATTATTATTATTA